CCATACAAGGGGAGTAAGTTCAGTTTTGGTTTTCCTTAACCTAAGAACTTTTGTTCTCTTCCTTCCAGGTGACCATCAGCGCAGAGTTCGTGGCCAACGAACAGATGAATAACTGCGTGAGCAACGACGCGGAGAGTCCCAGGGCGGACACCCCCTCCACGCCAGCAGCTTCCCTGCCCGTGTCAACGCCGACGGCGGCGGCCACGGACTCGTCAGTGGCCTCTTCGGACGAAGACGACCATGACGCCACTCCAGAGCTGGTGCCCGCACTCGTGGAGCAGGTCAAGCCGAACAAGAAGGTGAACGACAACCACCAGCACAGCAAGAACCAGCGCTCGAAGCACAAGCGGCCCCAAGACGCCCACAAGCCGGCGGCCAAGTCGCCGAGCAAACATGAGGCGCCTCCTGCTGCGTCCCCCTCCTCCTCCCCGGCGCCCGCGGCTGCACCAGCGGCACCAGCCCCTGCCCGCCCAGCGGCCGCGGCGGCCGCGCCCCCGCCCAGCCCCTCCGCGCCGGCGCCCCTCCAGCCCCTGCAAAACTCGCACCCCGCTGCCGCGCCGCCGCCGGCCGCCCCTGTCACCCCGGCGCCGACCCCGAACTGCAGTCGGAGGACGGCGTCTTCAGCCTTCCCACACATGGAGGCGGTGTCGCGCGTGCTGGCGCTCCCCATCGTCGACACGGGCGTGAGCATGGTGTCCGGCGTGTACAGCAAAGTGAAGGTGGGTGGAAACAGATTTATTTCATCTAATCTGTTTGAAGTAGTTATCAAAGAGAATTACACGTGAAGACGAAGGTGCGGGTGGGTTTGCCTACTCGCTCTGCCCGTAAGGCGCCATGGCCCCTTCGGTAGGCAAACTCTCCCACATCTGCGTCTTCCCTGAATCACCCGGTACACTTTTATTTCCCTTAATTTCGGTAACTAGTTTATTGTTACTCAATTTTTATTGTTGCAACGCAGAATGTGAATCCTGTGGTTCAGTGGGGTCTTGGTACGGCTGAGGGGGCCGTGCTCTCATCCCTTGGGCGTTCCCTATCGCTGCTCGGACCGTTGAGCGGGCCGCTCTCCGTCGTCGACGCTATCCTCTGCAGGGGGCTCGACATGGTGGAGTATAACGTACCAATCATCACACTCCCTCCTGAACTGGTACATCATTGCAAAAATCCTGATTAATTTAGATACATTGGTCATAGAACGTAACTTCATTTTCTTTCACACTCCTGAGTGCACGTTATGAAAGTCTTTTTTTTTCTTTTCTTTTTTCAGATGATGACAGCGAGTCGGGACTACATGTCAATGCGCGTGGTAGCTCCCGTGTTACGCATGACTGCCACAAATGCTCGTCTTGCTGACACCCTTGCTGCTCGCGCTCTTGATTCTGCTGATCATTACGTGGACAAGTATCTGCCAGGGGATGCTGCCACAGAAAATGGGGATGGTAAGTTAAAATTACCATTTTGTAAAGTAAAAAATAATTTTGAGACTACCAAACGTTTTTTTTTTCTCCATAGCTGTAGGGGCTGGTATAATAAAGGGTGGAGCTGCTTTTAAACGAGCAGATAGGTTATCCCGTAAGCTGCAGCGTCGCATAACTCGCCTCACACTTGCAGAAGCAAGAGCACTGCGCAAAGACACTGAAAACACTCTTCACACTCTTGTCTATTTTGCAGAAACGGTAATTTGCTGTGCTTCTGCTTTTCATTATGTCTGTAACCCTTCTTATTTGCAGAAATAATTTTTCTTTTTCTTTTCAGCTTGTGAAAGACCCTCGTGCTTTTGTAGAACAGTGCCGAGCTGTATGGAACCATCTGAGTGAGAATGAACCCGAAAATCAAGTTCCTCCAGAAACTCTGGAAGAGCGTTTGGCATTATTAGTTCGAGAAGTTGCTCGTAGAGTTGTGCACTTAGCTAATTACACAGCAGGAAGTGCAAGCACAAAAACAGTCTCCAACGTGGCCCACCATGTTTTGAAGGTATTGTTTCTTTCGGAGTTTTGATGATTGGTATTTAATTTAAAGTAATTTATTGCTTTGTACTTCAGTCAGTTCGAGTAGAAGGTGCCAAGGTAATGAATTTTGCCCAATCCCAATTGGACAGAGTCCATATGCAACAGGTTTTGGGTGAAGTCAACATCTACACTCATCAGTTATTGGTAAGTCTTTGGAAAGGCTTATGTATAGTTACCCATTGTTTTTCTTAGTAAAAGTGGAACTTTCCTCACAGGAGCGGCTTGCACACCTGTTGGCAGGTCTGCGGAACTCATCCAACTCAATTGGCCGACGGTTTCCCCATGCAGACACAAATAACATTGCAATTGTTAATTAATTTTACATTCAGAAATATTTTCATAGAGTTTAATTAAATTTAAACAGTTAACTGTTTCATATCGCTTTGGAGAGTGTCTCCATTCTATAACTGATAGTTTCCTGAATTTTGCTTCAGTATGATTTAACATAGTAATGTTCAAGATTGACTTTTGAGGTACCAACATATTGTAATTGCTACTATAGTTTTAGTTTGTATGCATTGGTGAACTATCTTTTTTCAAAGTTAGCGATCAGTTGGTTCATACTGCAAAAATATGAGTCCATATAATTTAATATAGGATTTGATTGAAAATAGACTGGCTCACGATTGCAAATTCAGGCTAGAGGTAGGTGAGGTTGAAAGAGTTCTTAAATCTGTGGGAGGAGTGAAACTGTTTCTTTTTAGCCTATTTGAGACTGTTTACTTAATATACCTGTTAACTTTTAGGGTTTTAGATTTTTAACTAAATGTACTTTCAAAGATGAAAACAATAAAAAAATATGGAAAATACACTTTTACTTATCTAAAGATCTTGCCATACAAAAAACACTTTCATTGAAGCATACATAAATAATAACAATAATTCTGACTGTATCAAAACATTTATTTAGATTTACCAGTACAGCCATTTAGTGAAGTTAAGAATTTTTAGGATAGATTTTATTATACAGTCTTGCCTCTGGATACTTCTCTGCAAGGAAACTTCTTGACTCACCATATTTGGCTATAAGTTCATACAAATTTTCTCTAGCTCCACGGCGCTTCTCCTCTTTTTTAAGATGAATATTCCAGCCGATGAGTCTAGTGAAAAAAGGTTCTGCCTTTGGCTTATCATACTTGACTCTACCTTGGAGAGAATGCTGTTTGAAATCTAAACTTTCAGAGGTAGGAATTTCAGAGCCCTTGCGGCAAATTGAGGGGGAAGCAAGAACCTTGGGAAAGTTGCGCTGCTTAGGATCAAACTCAACAACATGCAATTTCTTCTCTTCCGCAAATTCTTCGTACTTCTTCTGACGAACAAGACCCAGTATAAATGCTTTAGCAATGTTCATTGGCATTGTAGATCCTTCAACCCTAGCCTTGATGTCCTTTATGCCAACTAGTTTGCAAATGATTTTAATTACACGATGACAGTCAAGACCATAACCTTCTGGTTTCTTCTCCACAAAAATTTTGGTTGCATAGAACTGAGTGAAGAAGTCATGCAAAACCGTATGATTGTTGCAACGCTCAATATAGAGAAGTCTGACCACTGCTCTGTTCGAAGCTTGCTGAACTGCATGCATTTTGTTCATTGACTTGCCTGAACCTATACCAATAACCCCATTGCCGTTTCCACATACAACTACAATTGCTGCTCGTTGATACCTTCCAAACATTCCTGTCATATGGGATACAAATCTAGTGTCTATGACTCGATAGTCAAATTGATCAAGAAATTTAAGGGATGTGGTGTTTTTTAGGTCCCGTCCACAGATGGTCGCACTAGTATAACCTCTGTCGAGAGGATGCAGTCTGCGACGACCTTGTTTGGTTTCCTTAGCTTCTTTCACGGCTTCATTGGGGTCTTGCACAGGCGTTTCCAATCTCTCTTGCTGCACAACTTGCCTCCCTCTCATGACACTGGAGTTGAGACCAGGCCAAACCATCTTCACTTTACCGTCACCCATAACTTGATCCTTGTACAGATCCTTGATGAGCCGCGAATTGGTTTTCTTGCCACGTCCACGCCGCTGCCCTTGCTTGCTGACGAGTGTAATGCTTTTCCAGAGCTGGTCCACATTGTGAGAGTTAAACCCAGTTACTGCATTTCGCGTTTGTTGAAGGTTCGTGCAGGTTAGGTTGTACTTGAGAGGTGCAAGGCCGAGGGGCCCTACAGAAGTTGCCTTTCCTATTACGGCACGAAGATGTCCCAACATATTTTCGAAGGTATTCTTCCAGTGTTATACAAAATTAAAACTTCCCTTGCATCTGTTTCTACGGTTTAGTGCATCCCTCTCTTCAGCTCTTAGCTGCCTTCTTCCTTAAGGTTTTCTGCTACTGGCCTCACATTCATATTCATATTTAGTTTCAAATTCTGCCGTAGAAAAAAAGAAGAACAAGAAAAACAAAACAACAAAAACAAAAACAATTCTGCCTAGATGAAAACATCAAAGTGTTGCTTTGGAAAATTGCTTAGTTAGAGCTGAAATTATCATTTTTACTTCGTCGTGGCATAAAAACGCTTTTATCAAGTTCAGTTAGAAAGCAATTGCAGCATCTAAACCGGAATCCTTGATGCTCGCAAGTTTTTAGCATTGGACAGATTGTTTGCTATTGCAACGTAAGGTACGTCGTTCTATTAAAATAATTATCACAATTATTATTATTTTCGCATAGAATGGTGATTGAAGAAACGTCTACCATTCTTTTTCTAAGACATAAGTTCTTGCACTTAAATTCTGTCAAATTTGAGGATTTTGTTAAAGCTAACCTAGAAAGCACTACCCAAGTACCCAAGTAAGATTGATCAGAGAAGAGCACATCAATATGTTACAATACAATACTGACAAAATGCTAATCAGAATAGACATGACTCATGTCACACACATCGTTTAAATGGTGGCTTAGTGATGCTGATAAAAAGATGACAGTTTTGTGTGACGCACATTGTACCAATAATAGGTTACTTGATTTTTATTGCACTTTAAAAGCAAATTGTTCTGAATTAGGTTTCTTGGCTCCAGGGTTAAGCGAGCCGACCAGTATTGTATAACTTTGGGTTTGAATTCGAATAGACCGAATGTGGCAGAAGAAAGATTAGAATCATTAAGTGCTGGAAACAGTGCTGAAAAACAGTAAGTAGATCATATTTGTTCACCTCTGTGGTACACTAACAATTCCAAAATAAAAATAGTTATATCTCCGAAGAAAAGCAGAAAATGTTAACAATTTGATCTATTTTTAAACACTGTTCCTAGTGCTTTTTGATTCTTTTCTTTCTTCTCCCTCATTCAGTGGAATCGTCTTTTAACCCACATGGAAGGAGGTTGTTTTGCTGGCCAGAACATGTTAAAATAAATGTTATTGTATGGCAAAGAAATTCCATTGTGTGGAGTAGCATTAGTGTTCTATATTCACAACTGTTGTTAAATTAATGTATTCGTGGTGAATGTTGTCAACTCTTAATTTTTTGATATATTTGTCTGTTTATTTTCAGTGGTGTATTTTTTATATACCTTTATACTTCTGAATAGTTCTTATTCTGTTACCGTTTTTTTTTTTTTTTCAGGATCAAAAAGAAACCATGGTGAAACTATATGCAATGAACATTTTGTACAAAAACCCGAACAGTGCTCTATGGTTAAAAGCTGCATATGATTTGCAGACTTTTAGTTTCTTTCAGCGAGGCAGTGTTCAAGAGTTTATGGCATTTGTTAGCAAAACAATTGTTGAACGAACCCAAACTGCTGCAAGGCAATCTGTAAAAGAAGGAGGTATGTTTGTTCATGAAGCACTCATGCTTTTATATCTATTCCTGACAAACTGGAATCTGGAAAATTAATAATTCAGTTGCTTGTATTGTGGTTCTAGAGACTTCAGTATTGTCTTAGTAATGTAATCTATATTCTATCTAATCTATCTATTTTGCAGAATACATGTGTCACGTATATGTTCGTGGAGATAATCTGGCTGGAGTCATTATTAGTGATCATGAGTATCCCCAAAGAGTATCACACACTCTCATCACTAAGGTGTGTTGAAATATAGTGAATTGTCCTCAAAGAACTCCTTGGATTTCCTACTGCACTTTTTATGCATATGACCTATTTCAGGTTTTGGATGAATTTGCCCAAAAGTACCCACCTAGCACATGGCCTACAGCCACAGAAGCAAGCATTTCATTTAACCAGATCAATACATATTTGGCAAAGTATCAAAATCCTCGGGAAGCTGACGCCATGACCAAAATCCAGGAAGAATTGGATGAAACTAAGATAATTTTGGTACGTTGATTGTGTTTTGAATCAATGCTATAGATGAAGTAAGTTGGCGTTTTGATCATTTTTCTAATCTAGACCTTTTGATGCAGCATAACACCATTGAAGCAGTTCTTGAGAGAGGAGAAAAATTAGATGACCTAGTGGCCAAATCAGAAGGTTTGAGCATCCAGTCAAAGGCTTTTTACAAGACTGCAAGGAAGACAAATTCATGCTGCAATTTCGGTTGATTAATTTAGTTTCCAAATCGCATTCTTTTCATTTTGAATCATGTACAAGCTGTGCAGTTTGGTTATGTATGTTCGTGTCCAGTATTTCTCAATGTGTTTAGGTCATCAAATTACGCAGAGGTAATATTTGTTTTCTCTTTTGTTATTTTG